CACTACCGGTAGCTAGTTTGATCCTTACTGCATATCAATTTGCCTTTCAAGGTTGCTATGATATCGTTACGCAACCGTTGCTACAAACTAGGCTTTGTTGGTAGCAGCAAATTTAAATAGGAATAAATTACCAATTTGTTAAAATCATATATTCAAGAATTACATAGTTCGATGAATGGATGAAGTATATACCGCTGTCTATCGTCTATTTTACTTCCTTTCTTTTATTACACATGTGAAGTGCCGATTTATAACACGATCGTCTAACCGAGATTTTGAAAAGTAGACACAGATTTAAGTAAGTTAAACCATTAATCAACAGTTATTTATGTTACCTGCCGACTGTATGCGACGCTCATATTATTCATTATTCGTTCATGTTCAGAGTAGGCTCAAGAAGGTAAACGGGTGTTGAAGATAAACACTGAGATGCCTCGGACATTATATCTAATTGCCACTCGCAAGAATTATATTGTAAACCCGTGAGGAAGTTCGGCTAAAAAAAAGCAGCGAATTTTAGAAGATCGAAAAAAAAGTATAAACAATTTAATAAAAATCATCTTACACAAACTATCGATGCAATTCAACTCTGTTCCTTGAAAGATTAGGGTTTCAGAACGGAGCTTACCGGCTGGGTTGAATAGGACTCGTTTTACGTTTGCGTTTTCGCGCTTCGTCGATAATATTACATCGTCTAGCAAGGCGCTTCTCTCTGGCAGAATTGGCCTATTCTTTTTCGTTATTATAAAAAGTTTATTTGTGCCCAACTTGTGGCACCCGACTATAATTTGCTCATCTTATGTTCAGCTTCAAGCGAAAGTCATAGACGTTCGAGAGGCCCATAAAGGTATAAAATTCGCTATTTGTATTATTTCTAACACAGCTGTTGTCGTTCAGATATGCCCATGAAACACTACATCCCTTGCATGGCGTTCACACGAATCGCAAACTTTTTTTTTTGGCCAATAACAAATTTTAAGCTATAGTCAATACCTTATTATTTGTGTTCTACCAAGTAAACGAGAGAATCGAGCAACTATCAAATGTTGTGCCCTGCTAGCATTTTCGGATCCTTGCTAGATACGATGCTATATGTGACGAAGCACTATTTTTTGCTGACTAGAATTAGATAGTTTTACAGGTCGCGTCTAAATTTTCGATTTTGATGTTCTCTTCAAAGTTGCTAGCGATTCCTTTCATCCGCCCGTCTGCTATCAAACAGGGCTTCGCTTATCTAGTAGGTTAGATGTAGAGAGAGGATGTACCAGTCAGCTGAAACGTCGACCGCTAGAAAAACATCAACCGATACCTCGAACACAGGGGTTTTTATCGTAAAAGTACGCGGATGTTCCATACTACTCTATGCTGTTCGTTGCACGATGCGTGCCTAGAATTGGTTATTAGATGGTAAAGTATTGTATATTCCATTGCACTTGTGCCTATTAGATAAATCCTAGCTAATAATTTCGTTTTTTTTTTTTTTTTTTGATTTAACGAAGCTATAAACGTCTGCTTTAACCGACGCTTGCGACAATGAATGTATGGGTACGTAACGTGGACTACATGACGAACGTTTGCCGTTCCATTGTTTGCTGAAACGATGTTTAGCCTATGAGTAAAGTGACAAAAATAAGTGAATGAGGCGTCTAACAGCAGCAGCCGCAGTTACTCGAAAGAACAAGAAAAATCAACTTATATGCACGTGCACGTTTGCCGTCACAACTCTACACCATATGATATGCGCGGCCTTGTACGTTGCGTTTCACGTCAACGGAAAGAAAAAAACCTATAAATTGACTCGTTTAAAAGTTCTATACCTTTTTTAATCTTCCATTTTTGTGTTGCTCTTTTGTCGCTCGTCCATGCTTGCCCAGAGCTAGCGCTCTTGTTAGTCCTGGTGTAGCCGTTACCGTCGACCTCTGGCACAGATCGATCCTTCGCTAAAAGTCTCTATTGAGTCGCCGTACACCTATATTTTCCATAGCCTCCATATATGATCTTTTTACTTCGGGTTCGTCATCCACATGCCCTTTCTCCACGCATTCGCGCCACCGGGTCGCGTTGCCCAGTTTCCTTCAAAGTTATCTTCCGCCAAAAAACTGAGCTGCACGAAGGGCCATGACACATGGCTTTCCCTTGACTCGATCATACCTTGATCCTAGGATCCCAGAATAGTAGGTTAAAGTATACATTAAATACACATGTCGTGCAGAGCACGATCACTGTGAACACAGCCTTTCCGATCCGCCCTCGCTGTACGACCCACACGTCGTGGATTTCATTCGGTGCCCTACTCCTTCAATCGCTTGACGCCGTATTATAGCGCCAATGCCCTTCTTCGGTAGCGACCGTTTATCTGTTCTTCCCTTCTAGATGACTCGAGTCCGCATGGTTCGGCATTTTGTAGAGGATGTGCTGTCGCTCGCCGTTCGAATAGCTTAGACCTTGCAGAGGCTTCAATTAGTATAGTACTACATTGGCTGGCGCCTAGTGGGTGGTAGTAAATAGCGCATGCTTGCTCAGCCACGACGTTACTCAATATGTCCGTCAATGACTTAACCAATTTGGATAGCTGACGCGCTTCAGGCCATTTTGAAATAGAGTAGGCGCAAATAGATAGACTCCAGCTGGCAGCAGGGTGGTCGTGCAGGCCATATTCGCGCGTAGCGACAGCGAAAGCCGTATCCAGTAGCTGGTAACGACACCAGGAAATTCGATGCAACCCACCCAGTTGGCAGAGGCAGATGAAGCAAAATCGACCGATGGCGGCAATTACTGTCGGAATAGGTCGCGTCGTTTTGTTCGATAGAATGCAAAGAGACTAGGCATCTAACGGGAGTCCTGGGTTATCTATTCTAGGTATTGAAATACGGCACTCTTACGTCGATTTGGCGCTGCGTTCGTGTGATGCGATTCTTCTACATTCAGTTGGAAAAACGCGCTAGACAGAAATGTAGCTGACGTCAGAGGTAACACTGTGGGTGCGCTTTACGACAGGACCCTGCGCAATGTACGATGCTTATGGGAAGATTTCTCTATCTCTTTCTTCCTATGTATATATACACAATGTACTGATCGTCTTTTCTATAAACATGTTTGCGGATTCTCTTCGCTCACTTTAGTTATCTGTCCTGTTAGTCGTCTTGCTTTTTATTACTACGACTAGTCAATGACCAACCAGACGAGACTGAGATGTCTCGTCTGGTTGGTCATATGCATATACACATATGCAGACTGGCAGCACATTTTCTACATTGAGCAGAAAAGGCATTATGGGGGACCAGATGTCACCAGTGTTATTTCGAAACATAATATATTCATAAGGTTTGTCCAAACGCTCTGTTGAAGTTAGACGGCCGTCAGCATTACCCCTCACGTACGATAAATTGCATTTGGTGCTGCTTATGCAGACGCTCACCTATGCACGATTACTTGTTATGAGCACTACTCAATAAAGACTTCAAGCCAGACGCAACTTTAGGGCGTGGTTAGCTAAAGTCTTTAGGCAGTTGCTTGGGGCCGTTAGTCCGTATGAAAACGCAATTTCCGTTCCCTGTGTCTAGGCTCCTTTTTAGCAGGCGCCACCTGGTTGCTTGTAAACGACAAGCCTCTCACGTAAACCTTCCGGTTCGAAGTCAAGCTTTGAAACTACTTAGTCGTTCGTTATTCGAGGACAAGAACGGGCCCCGTAAGGGTACAGGCCTCAATCCTAACCTACCATATTGCTTTAACATACATTCTAGCGCTGACCCCACTCAGAGTGTTACGGTATTAGTAATGACGACTAGTAGGACATTTTTGTAAACACCTACTACCTCTCTAGTTAAGTTGTCCTCAATACGCCAGCATACAGGGCAGCTTGACTTTGATGTCCGTTCTAAGGCAGGCTGGGCTGAATACTAAACAGGACTTCGCAGTTGATTCCAAGCTGAACTAAAGGCTGACTAGGTTTCATCAGTCGGAGTTGATAAATAGACTATTTATTGACAGAAGTACTAGCGGCAGCTATGGTAATTTCGTTGATTTCAAATTTCGAAGTGGAGTAATATCCCCTCTTCGAGGACTCTGACGTAATATTTCAAAACGATTCCCCACTCGCACACAATAAACGAAAACACTTTCGAGTGTCTCTAACGTCCGTGATTGCATTAAGCCATAAAAACATCGAAATGAAGAAAATTTTTAACATACCATATACGTTGGTTTTAGCTACGGCTTGTAATAGAGGATTTATTTATGATTATCTAGTATGTGTGTATTGTATTGCCCATATTGCTGGCACCTACGACTAAAGCTGTTTATATCCTGGTTATCTTATACTGTACAATGTATATTATTGTTACCTAGAGATATTTAAATTATAATGCAAACACCGAATAGCTCATGGATTCTTACATTTCTTATAGCGATGCAATTAGTGCGCAAATGCTTCTTTTTTTCTCTACGTATGTGAAGCTAAATGAAACTGAATCCGTCATAACATGATGGTCTATTTGCTCGTATCCCGCTAGCGTCGTTACATGAAAGCAATATGATCTGAATAAGGTACTGTAGCAGTTGTTGAGGCCATGTGTACTTTAGCAACAATTTGATCAATCGTTTTCTTTGCTTGTAGCTAGCATGAAATATGACATGTTGGTGTGTTTTATTGACAGCCTGATTTCGATACGAGCAGGTCAGCGCTGGGCCTAGGCAAAGTCTGAGTTATTTTGGATCGAATCACAGTTGCTATTTAAATGTGAGATATGTTCCCTCATGAAGCATTGTCATCATTGAGCTGCTACCTTTGCATCGCGCTGCTGGAAGTGGTTGAGTTATTAATAGATGCAAACGTATGTGGAGTTTGGCCACTCAAAAATAACAAGAGATTTCAACTTATTATAGTAGTTTTGTATTACCATCTTCCAATAGTTGTTTGCACATTACAGTCGAAGGGTAATTTATCTCAATTTATTGTCTTACAATAACTTACTTAGTTGTATGTTGCTTCCTGATTCCAGGTTACTGGCCGTTCTCTACGGTTGTCTGTACAATATGGGTGACCTGCGATGTCCTTGGGTGTTCGGCCTCGATCCTTCACCTCTGCTGCATTTCAGTAGGCCGTTACATCGGCATCCGTAATCCGTTACGGACCCGCCAACGGACGCAATACCAAAGTCGCCGTAGTGTTCTTACACGAGTTCTTGGTGTGTGGCTGCTTGCGTCAGTGATCAGTTGTCCTCTGCCATTACTGGCGGCTCAAGATGTGAACAATGTACGCCCGTCAGGTGAGGCATGCGCGATCAATAATCGATTTTTCCTCGCTTTCGGATCAATCTTCGCCTTTTATTTACCCATGATGGTTATGATGGTCATCTACGTGCTAACCGTACGTGAACTGCACAAGCCGCCAGACCTCAGCTCGTCCACAGCCAATCCCACTACTATAACCAGTACAACAACAATTCAGCCAAACCCCGCAGCAGGGGGGTCCATCTCGGTGACGTCTGGTACAGTCTCGGGCACTGATTCAGGAGGTGGAGGCACGGTCACCATTGGGGTCATCGGCGTTGGCGGCACAGGTGGGGGAATCCAGACCCAGTCGTCTGCTTGCTCCTCGAATGGCAATGGAACTAATATGAGTACCGGTAACGCGATCACTGGCGCGTTAGCTACCACCGCCGGTTTCCCGTTTTCACGAATCGCCTCGGCCAAAGCCAACGGCTCGGGTTCAGCGTCAAGCGGCGAAACTTGCCCGTGCGTTCTTGCCGTACGAACCGCTAGGGCCCTCAACGAGCGTCGAGCTACCAAAGTTCTTGGCGTCGTATTTCTGCTCTTTTTCGTATGCTGGTCGCCTTTCTTTGTGCTCAACGTGCTGCAGATACCGCTCGGCAGTGACTTCTTTCCCGGGTACATGTCGACTGGCTTTCTATGGCTTGGTTACATGTCATCAACGGTCAATCCGCTCGTCTACACCGTGTTCAATCGCGTGTTTCGTTCAACGTTCTGGCAGTTGTTAACGTGCCGCTGTGGGAAGCGTCGGCGACGCCTACTGTATAGCAACACGATACGTGGGTATGGCTATGCTAGCTCGCGCGACATGGTCTCTTGGTCGTTTCGGTCGACTTACCGGCAGCCCCGACCTGACCACAGGAGTCAAGGCTCGGGCCAAATGGGGACCACACGACTGACAAACGAAAGAAGGCCCTGACGAAAGCGGGTCGACTCACAGGATCTAACATAAATCGATTCAAAATATAACGAAACGAAAAACGAATACACACTGACCACAGATGCCCGCACTTATTTGCAGTTGTAACAGATCAGGAAAACGTAACAGCCACTCAGTATATAATATATATACTGACTATATATAATAAGGACAGTGATAAGAATGTAACGATGAGCCTCTCTAATGAATGCTACATTTTCGCGAAATAGGTTTACATAGTATGTATGACTAGTAATATGAGCCTACGTATAGATATCTAACTAAATATATACATATATATACATGAAGATCTGTGTTCGGTTACATGTGCATACGTATGTACATAGTTGTGGAGGATGATTCATTCATTCATTCATTCAAATCGTTCTAAATGCAACGGCTATTATCTATCTATGGATGTGCCTAAACAGAGTATCACAGGAATGGCTTCTAAAATAGGACAATCTTTGCTGTAAATAATGGAAGTCTTGTTTTGGAATAGGAACAGGAAACAGGCCAGTAGAACGAGACTTGGTTTTCGCGGAAAGTCATAGAAACATAGCATTATTAACTATAACAACCTATAAACTGTATAGGCTAGCAATTGTGTTAAATGAATAGTTCAACTGATAGCCGAAACATTCGAAAGCCGTCTGAGGCAAAAAGCTACTCTGTAACGCAGGTGTAGGGAAGTTGAACTCTGAAAATTACAACAATTAGATGTGGTCTGGCTTTTATGGTAACGTATATTTAAGCCTTGAGCAAGTCTCAGCAAATCTGTCATTGAATGAAGAGTCAGGATTCAACAAGAGGCATGTTCATTGGTATAAATATGAAAATCCCCGGTAAAGTTTTATCTATTATGCCCCATACACACTCAATCGGCAACTAATAAACGATTAGTAAACAAATTTACAATAATGCTAGACAAAATTACTAAGTTACAGAGAAATCATTGGCATGTTAGGAAATAACCCATGATCGTTGCTTCTTTAATTGCCTATTTAATCTATTTGTGTATGTGAGTTACTGTCAGTGGCGCTTGTCTAGCGATGGGGTTTTTTGGTCTATTTGAGGTTAGCCGATGGCCAGCTTACCTTGACAGCGACACAGTGAGCACGTCAACGTGGCGCTCCTGTGAGCGACATTAAAGCATCGACCGAACGCTGACTCCGAAACGGATAGAGAGACCAATCTATTATAATTAGCATATAATTATTATTGTTATTAGAACGTAAGCAATACTATAATGATAACCATAATATAAGTGGCAGCGAATGGTCATCGAACGTTCTACGCTAGCATATCGGTGACATGATCGTAGGGTTAGATGGCGCCGCCGCGACCGCCCAACAGGTGGCGCAGGTGAGCCATTCGAGCTGAAAAGTACACATTATAATGTAAATACTGAATCTGTTATTAAATTATAGTAATAATATTATATAATAGGCAATTGCAATGCTTTATTGAATATCAATAACGCAAGTTCCCTTGAAGGTTCCTTACAACTTGCTACTTGGTATATCGACTAGAAACGACCTTCCGAGATCAGCAGAAAACATGATTGCAGTCACGAATTTTTCGTTTCCTCATTACTCCGAGCATCGATGCGGGCCGCTGATACTATGTATGTATAGAAAATATATGGTGTATCCCACATATATGGGATTACTTCGAGTCGTTAAATCGCCGTCCAGTAAAGTGCAAACACACGCTAGGCACTATATCAGGCGCACAATGAAATTCACTGGAGTAACTAAAAATTCTGATACAGAAACTTATTTGAGTATATTGAACTTAAGGGGCTCCAACGCACGCTTAAGCACCGACCACAGATAGGAATATAAATCTTCAATAGCTAACACTTGCATGAATTATTCGACTCCTTTAACTGTGGTCTGTTCAAACGTGGTATAAAGACTGAAAAATCATATAAAACATGGTTTAATGCTACTTCGATGCGCTTCGTTATAGAGACTAAGGTGTGCACTTGTCTGTCTATCCATGTGGGAAGATATATATATATATAAATCTTCGCAATGACTCTTAACAAAGCTCTAAGTTATGTGAGGAGTAACCATTTACTAGAATAAAGTTGCAAAATAACTACACCAAAAAATCAGTGTTACCGGTGAACTGCCCCGAAATACTACATAAACCAGCAACCAGTTTCATTAGTATAATTATAGAACCTGCTGATCGAATAGCTCCGACAAGGTAAAAAGCTTCGACACCCCAGCAGGAATATTGCAAGTACCCGAAAAGTGGAACGGAATAGGTCGAGCAAGCCATGGATAGGAATAACGATGCGTGCAGAGCCAACTTACAGGTTACATCAGGTTGGCTGTCCTGAATGATTTAATTAACTATAATTAGCTACAGGCGCGAAGCGACGTCTGCGACTCTGTCTTGTATAAATTTAGAAAAAGAACATGAAGACATCGATACTAGTTGTTCATACATTAACTTCAATGCTATAACTTTCAATACTGATGCATCAACAAGGTGATCTGCGTGAATAAACAACAGCCTTTTCTTTGCAATGAAATAACATAGGCTTGTGTAATGATGCCATAGCCGTGTGTGAATGAATCGTTTCTGTTGATCACGATCTGCTTAATAGATCAATTCAACTTTGCAAATGGCTGGCTACAAGCTCAGCACAAAATATTATGCGAAACTACCGCGTATGTGGTAATGGAGCTGCTAGTTTGAGAATAATATACGTGTCTCTTAGTATTTTGGAGGCTTGTGGACAACAAGGAAATAAAGATTTGTGGGTGCCGGCTTGCGAACAACATTGAAAGTACGCGGAGCCCCTGAATCAGGCGGAGCTGAGAACACTATATCGGATTTACTACATTTTCTCACCACTATCAAAGAGAAGGTAAGGGCGATCTAACGAAAAACAGAGAGGGCGGAAGCATAGCGGAAAAAAAAAGGAAATTGGGTTGGAAGCAAACAGCGTTTGAATCATCCCTGACCTCGCCGCGGGCACGCGTCCTACATTTCGTATGTGCCACTATTTTCGAACTAGTAGGAAAGAGGTTAAGGTTCCTAAAGTAGAGCACTGTGATACTGACACATATGAAGTAGACGTCTCATGAAACAAAGGCGATGAAGGTAGACGAAATTTGCCTACCAGGCCATCGTGGAGACAGCAAGTTTCGATATTGTAGTGACTTTTTGACGGTCTAAGGGGTCAGCAGGTTGCGGACGCAACCCGGTTCTATCGTCCTCTGATTTCGTATTTCATTTTTGTACAGATCTGTGAGTGCGAAATAGTAAACTGGAAATAACCCAGAAGCGCGCAGAGACAAGGCGTTCGGATAAAAGGTGTAGTCAAAAAAGGACTGCTGAACGACAGGTGAGTGGCCCCAGCATGAGAAAGCAGGTGAAAAGGGAAACATATACAGAGTGAAATGAAATCGACTCAATGTAGGCGATGCGTAAGTATATCCAGAAGGACGAGTGCGAGGAGTGCCAGGAAAAAGTTTGCCAAGTGTATGGTTTTTTCTTCCCAGTAGTAGCTATAGCAAAAGCTGTGTCCATATCTAATCGAGCACATTCGATGACGCCACGATTGCTGCCCGCTGACAGCTAGTATGAGGTACGAAATAGAAGAATGAATATGCGCAGTGCCCTATGCCGGATAAAACATGCCTTACGACTAATCGTGTACCTTGTATGCGCACAACCACCCTCAAACGCACAGACATTTACGCGAAACTGGATAAGGACGCCTTCGATCAGTAACAATACGTTTATCGACGGCCCAAAAATAATCTAGAAAAAAGGGAAAAGGAAGGAGCCCAAAACATCTCGCGGCTTTCTGCAAGTGTCGTCGCATAAAATAACTCCTTACCGGTTTCGAATAAAGATTGCTCTGCTTCCCTAGAGAATGTTGGAGGAACCCGGAAAAGGAGAAAAAAACCAGGCGAGGGAGATCCAAGCGTATCTTCGAATCGAGCAAGAAACAAATCGCCGGGTGTAGCCGATGGCTACAAATAGAGAAACATCGATAATGAGAGAACGGGCGACAAGAATAACCCAGCCTTCTGGACTCTATCTCGTGGGGTTACTTTTCGGCGTCCTCGACCTCGCTCCAAAGGGTGATTTGTGTCAGTCGACACGTCAAGTCGACAGCGGCAGAAGCCGAGAAGGCAAAACCGAGTATCGCGATGCGCAGATATGTGTGTCCGACAATCTTCTTCTTCCTCGTACAGTGTGATCAATAAAGATAGCAACTCGGCTTGGTTCCAAGGCTGATCTTGGGAGGCGACCCACAATCGAATGGAGAAAAGATGCAGCGTATTCGAACCTACCCAGATACCCAATGTGAATATATACCTGCAAAAGAAGCCTAAAAACAACGTACGACTGAAGAATATTTTAAAAAGAATGCGGCCACATATGTATAACCTTAGATATTTTCCATCATGTGTATCTTACAAAGATTGCTTAATACAACGATGACGAAGAAATCGACATTTAGCAACAAGCAGAGTAATACGACAACCTTTAAGGGAGTTGTTGTTAATAGATCGCAGTGAGTGTATGTCTGTGAAATAGGTATGTGTTTTTCAGTATCGTTTGCTATTTCACTGATCAAATATGGTGAAGCATGCATAGTTCTTATGTCGATACTTGCTAGGTACTGTTTTGAAAAATTCTTCTTTGTAGTATGTAGAGTCAAGTACCTGCTGCGCATTATCTGGTAATGGCATGGAAGCATCATCAGGCAATGGCAGCAAAGCTTCTAAGCCCTACCGGCAAGTTGTACTCTCTGGTTATTATTGTTATAACTTTCCGGCGAGCAACAAAATCCTTAAATAATACGATTTTCTATGCGCTACACACGGGATGCAACACGAAATCAAAACATGAAACGAGTCTATCCTGTTCGAACGTCACGCTCCATCTCTGCAGATGGCTGAACTTGAGGCATTGTCAGCGATTACTTAATATGCCAATAAAAATTTCGTGCTATCACGCAACCTTGCGCGCAGCACAGGCTCACAGTAGCTGTAAATCTGTTCATTTCTAGATAAGTTTTCCTTTTCGAATTTGACCGCGTCGAATGATGTGCTCGAAAGCCCCTTACGGCACCCCCCAAAGACTTTATACATCCGTCTAAACTAGTTAATTCATATAAATTCCAATGTTCTAATGATGAATAGCTACTGCTGGATGTAATGGAACTGCTAAAAAAAATCCCCTTGACTCATTTTTATCCCTTTGATCTGAAATACTCGTCTGCGTTATCATGCGACCACGACCGAACTATTCCGTTGATAGTTTATAATAAATGTATAGGAATAATAATGTTTATAGCAATAGAATACACTTTGCAAGTAGCACGAACGATACCTCAATAGCGACCCCTCTTTTGTGTGTAAATAGATATGATACTGAAACTGATACTGCTATGATAATAATAATAATAATAACAATGATAACTACGATGCTATAAAAACTCGCTACGATGATTGGTAAGAAGTATATATGTGCTTTGTTTTGTAAATGATGTAAAATCATGTTACCTGTTGCCGTGTTGAAATAAATCGATTTATGTATAAAACACGAACAAAAAGAACTGAAATATCTTTTTATTTTTTCGGTTCGGATAATATTATATATCTGTGTATTCGTTTAGTGCAGAGGATTAACTGAGGCACAGGATCTATTGAAGTTCAATGCGAGGTATCACGAAGAACGAGAATAAGTTGAGGACAGTATGAAAGCTATGCGCTCGTTTAACTCCAGTTCGTATTTATAAGTTGTTCTAACATTTGACAGGCGCATACTTTGAGTTCTATGATGAGCCAAATTATAGACACTTTCGCAATTTACGTATTTCGAAGAGGCTTGAATTTTACTTGGGTCGAATCTAACTATGCAAGAAAAATAGTAAGATATAGCTTGCCTGTAAATAGAAAAGTCGTTTCTCCAGAATAACATATGCCTAGTCATAAATAATCATCAGGTGGCGGTTTTCGCGTCGTAACCAGCGCGTGTGATCACATGCACTGGGTGCTTCAAACCCTGGTTTGCGGCCATAAAAAACAAGACAGAGAAAAGACGAACGAACGAATGCTTACTTCTGAACCATGTTACAGTGTCAAAGATGTGCCGAAAATTTAGCTACATACGAACTGCACATGGCTTAATCCTTCAAGTCCCATCAGTTTCCTTCGAAGCCATCCCAGCTACATTCAATGCCCGTGCGTTTTCTTGGATTGCATTGGTTACCTGAAAGTTTTTTTCTTTTCGAGTATTTCATGAACTTTAGAAAAAGGACCACTAGAAAAAGGGAACTGGACGTGTGCCCGTGATAACTTAGTGGGTGCCGTATTTGTCTGCCAATTTTAGGGTTACGGTGTGATCTGCGCTTCGTGCTGCGAGCCACGACACCTAACGGTGATACCTGACGTAAAACTCAAAACATAGCGAAATCTGTAATAACTTGTCAAAACAAACATAGCAATTCGTTGAAGCGTGAAGGTTCCCCTAAGGCAGTTATCGACTCGGTCCGGTCCACAGAAAATAGAGGCCAAGTTAAGCAGCAGCGGCATTCTATAAATTAAAAGAAAGAAGCATCGTATTATGATAAAAATCAAATACCACAAGGCTCTAAAAAAGCGGGCTGTGTCAATTAAAGAGCATGTATATTGAAGTGAGAGGTTAACGATTGTGACAGGATTGTTGGCCTCCGTCGATAAATATGTGTATGTTTAAGGTGAGCGGCACCCGACAACCAGTTGTTGATCCCTCCATGCCATGTCTTTCGTTTCATTAAAGTATGTCGCTTTATATAAAAATGTTTAAATTTTACGTGCATAAATATGTGTATGCTGTATAAACTGGCTGCCCAGAGTGAGAAAAGACGTTATAGAAGATGAAAAAACTAGGCTAAATGGGTAAATTAGGGTAAAACCCTAATTTTATAACTGAAGGAGAGAAGAAAATAAAGAGTTTGTATATGTGTAACAAGTAGTCAAATATGGGTGAGGGTTTTTTACGCGCTAGTATCGTTAAAGGAATGCCTTAAGTGATCGCAGATTACATATAATCTTGGCAAGCGTTACCTTTTTTAACGGTAAGGATTGAGGAAACGAGCTATTGTCATCAACTATTGATCGTTTACGGAGATCATGTCACATTTACGACCGGACATATTTGGGCACGAAACTCCTTAACGTATAATGACATCGTCGATTTACAGTTATTACGAGTGTATTTCCTAACTTCCTTCTACTTTCCAATGCAATACCATCAATTTCATGCGCAAAAAAGTTAGTGTATTTTTTTTTCCATAAATTCTACCTTCTACGTTCTTTATTCTTAAAGCTTCTCTGTCTTCTTGCGATGCCCGGGAGCAATGATACTTCTTTAAAAATAAAGAACAAAAGTACATATATATTTTGCAAGTAGTCCCATTGTGATTTTGCTTTTCTAAATTTTACTCGACGGTGCGAATGGACTTGTGTTTGTTTTGGTGGGAACCCGCTACCCCGTTCTCTAAGGCGGATGGGCTAAGCAGCTTGATCCGAGAAGTATAATTAGAGCATGCTGTTCGAAAAGAAAGCTGACTTCATGATATTGCTCAACTATTGCCAATATGTATGCCAACACCGAGGTACGCCGAGAACCCTATTGACTTCCTGGACCATTTCGCTTGTTATTATATCACACGACCTGCATATATGGAATCGGGGTAGATAAAGAAGCAACAATTTCATTTAGGTAATAGCATTTTTACATTGGAACCATCTGGAAAACGTGGCCTGGCCAATTTTGAACTACATACAATGATTCAAATCCAAGACAGGCTTAACACAACTTTGCGCAGGATGAAGATTGTAGCACAAGTGAGCAAGATAGATTCCACACGTTTGGAAGCATTAGACCCGATTAATAGGTCAGTTGTAGGAAAATAAATAAGGGGCCTTTTTTTTTTTTACCAAATATGAATAGCAAGCGTAATGGAATGTTATACAGTATCGCCTTTAAATTACGTCCTTACCGAGTGGATTGAGGTTTTTCTAACGAAACAGTCGACGATTACTCGAGTGACAGGAATAACGGAAAATTAGATATTCTACTAAAAACCGGACCAGCTGCTGGACATGAAGCAGACGCCATTTTAAATGGACCAAACGATATGGCTCATGTGCCGCATGCACTTCAATTAAGTAAAACAGTCATCTAGACTTTGACGGAATTATCCAATGTCTGCCAGGTCACGGTCTTCCTTACACCTTACATTGTGAACATTCGACGTAGGAATGAATCTCGGAACATCTCGGAACAATCTATCTGATTTGTCGATCGTCGACATCGAAATTTTTCAGGCGATTTTATTTATTTAGGTAACACTGTTAGATAGATTTACTACAAAAACGCTTGTGTACATACAAAGATGGCGGTTCTAATCCGTTTGACTAAGCAATAAGGATAAAGGGCGTTAGCTTAATTTGTTCTAGACGATATTTAAAGCACTTTCAAAAGTGTACTTTTAATGGAGCTCGACACAACGTTATTCGAGTTGACGCAAAGCAATCTTGTATCCTTAGCTGTTTCCAGTTTCCTGAATATCCAGTTCACCGCTTTTTCTGCTTCTGTGTATACATAAGCAGAAACAAGCAAGGAACAAACAGCTTTTCTAATAGATTCCTAAATCTTAGTAGGTGTTCCGAAAAAACTCTCATATACGAGGAATCTAGAATCTGAAATTATGGAATAATGTTCTAATCGCATAGTACTAGAATGCTATTCATCTATCTGAGCCTACAAATGCATAGCGGAGGCGAAAGTTTTGGTTGACTGAGATATTACGGTACCGGTAGACCTTGATGTGTAGCCATGGTTAAATAGCTTATTTTCGCCAAAATTTGTCTCAAATATATCATTGTCCTTTATGTGTCCTGTAATTAAACATTTCTTTCCGGTGTACGCTATACGAAAAAAAAAAATTATTCATCTCATATTTTGCATTGCCATCGGGCATTTAGGCAGCACAGCTAGAAACAGTAACGCTATCCAAGAGGGTCCAAAGCTGTCGCTTCATAACGCTGCACGTTCCACCAGAAGACCTAATCCGGTTATGTGAAAACGCGGTCAGAAAGCTCGATCAGACATAGAGTTCGTTTATATTTTAGTTACCTGTGTCACACTATCGGATAACGACGATGGAGAAATAACGATTTTTTTGTTAATATCGCTCATGCTTATCTCTTTCGTTTCGCCAAAGTACCTATCGCAAAACTTCCCTAGACAGAATGAGGCTGCATAGTTGAGCAGCAACAGTAGCGGGCAGCTCGGCTGCCGATGGGTTGCTGCCCAGCGTTCCGCGTTTTAAAACTTGCTCTTCGCCAAATAACAGAACGATCAGATAATGGCAAATGTTGCCGTCGCCCACCAGATCGGACAATAATTTCTGACTGTATTCTGTAGTGTATTTTCGATCATATTTTTTTAGATATATTTTAATTTGGGCAATCCGAAATACGGGAGAGTACAGAACAACACGGAACTGTCGAAAACAAAGACCATCCGATCCAATTTTACTAGCTGGACAAGATAGTCAATATGGCTGGGTTATATTATGTCCGTGTAGGTTCTTTCAACAGGTCTCAACAAAGCAACCGCATCATGATGAGGCAGACTTCGAGAAGACGATATAACGACGTATTTCTTCATGCTCATGCTGCACGACGGTGCAAAGCATGTCGAGCACGACTACTGAAAGTAGATCTAACTGGTTCTCAAAATACAAACGAGAGAGTATGTCACTGAAACATACGCATAGATTGAGATCCGCTTTAACTACCCTTGAATCTAGCATGTTAAAAAATCCATGTGCGCGATTAAAGCGACAGTATCAGGTATACGATTGAGTACTTTCAGAATGGAAGCTTTGCCTACCTTGCCAGTCGTACAAAATGACATGGTACACAAAAGATCAAGATGCATCCCAGATGCTACGGCAAAACATCACAATGCGGCATCAGAGAATCCTTAAGTATCAATATAGTAGGAAAACTTCTATGAAGTCTTTCGTGTGTTCTACATGCTTTTCTCCTGTTCCACAAGCCCCGTGCTCTGCTCTACTTCTGCATAACGAAATCAACTACTTTATTTGACATGAGCTAGCAAACGTAGTCTTCTAATTGCAGTTGAGTACATAAATAAAAGGATACCTAAATAATTTATTATTATAATATAAAATGTTGTTACTCACACGCACAGTGCTGGTTACTGGGCTACATAAACGTACGACCTGGTCATAAAACGATTGAATACGACAAAGGTGCCTAAGTGTGTCAGGATCAGACTCGTATTCGTGCACCCAATAATGCTTAGCTTTTGGATCTCTGAGTTTCAAGATCAGTGTTGGTTGCTACCTAGTGAGAAAAAAAAAATAAGGCTCACATGAGTGTTTGACGAAATGAAGGTACAGTATACATAAACGACCATGTCAAAAAGCCAGCTCTGAATCATATTTGCATATCGTTTAAAAATACATTTGTCACAAAGGCTAGCAAATTGGACGCTGTCGTTATGAAATAATCCTCATGCGTAATATCCTTTTTTCCTTTACTTTGGGATAAATTAAGGTTCACTTTGACGGATTGCTTGTCGCAGCGAGCATACGTTTATCCACTATTCTTGGTGGCAGTTTTTTTCGTAAAATCCACAAACCTGTCATGGGGGCAAGTAGGATTTGTGCCCTTATTATGAGCGAACATCAGCTTCTACCGAATGCCTTTGCAGTACACGAACTTTAATTGAGATTGTAATTTTTTTTGCTGTCGAAAATCGACAGTATATGTCGTTGCCAGTTCATACGTACCCAAAGAAGATTCATTTTAAAAGTGAAAAAAGATTTCGAAAAATCCGAGGAAGACTTATAAGAACACAATAGAAGATCTACAACAGAGATAAGATCAAAAGGGTCGGTAAACCCAATACTTTAAGATCACAGAAAGTTGACGCAGAGATCAATTGTAATGTTTGTCGTTAATTGAGTTTCCCAAGCAAGCCCAAATAGGTTTACTTTAGTTTTTTGTGTCGTATTTGACTTTTGAGACTTTTTTTGCACTGTTAGATTTTTGCTAGCCTAAATTTACATGTACATCTTCTACGCTTACTGTCAGCTAAAAGAGTAAACCCTCTGAACTTTTTTGGGCGGCGTGTTCGAGAGGGATTTCAATGAGTTTACTCTCATTATTGCTATTACTCATTGTAACCATTAACAATTCATTAGCAAATCGTCCGAAGGTCTATTTTCATCCGGACGTCGCTTGTGTGCTAATCACACCAGCAGTACCCAATCTAACTCGAACACACTGTACATGAACAGCGTTAATTTGGACCCTTGATGCAGTCGCGAAGAATCTACTAGGAGTGATTGAAGCTGTGTTTCGTTTAGTTTCATTGGCCCTTTGCAACATGCCCAGACCATCCACCCTTCTCACAGAGTGGCTTATTTTTGAAGCACCAAGGAGCTTAAATCACGTTCTCGATTCACGTGCATAGCAGCTCGAATTTTCTTCTTTCGAACCCTTTATTTATATCGACTTATCACACCCTCACTCAGAAGGATACCAGTAGTCAAGTTTACCAGGAGTGGCGTATGGGACAGCCAATGTTAGAGGAAGAGCGTACTTTGCTATGTTGAAAGAGAGTGGAGCCGTGGGCTGGCTTCCAAAGAAAGGGTGACGTCCGACATAGTGGGCAAATTGAGGTAAGCTGCAGTCCGTTAGCTTTGAATAAAGTAAGCTCACACTCCTGACCAAAGCCGTGGGCCGCAAAAGTCTTTTCTCCTATTCGAATAATGTAAATGGAAGCAAGCACTGTTTTCCTTTACAGTTAGAGAGCAACCTAGCTGGGTCTCGCATGGCCTAGAAACCCTCGGTTGACCCACTCAGAAATCCCCAGCCTCTCTGCTAATTATACCGAGCTGCTCGTTGAAAGGAAGTTTGAACTGAGGGTGGCCACATTAAATCGAACTCAACCGGACGCCATTCGATTGCTTGATTCGTCGATGAAGATGTAGACAAACGCCAGATCTGCCACCGCGAACCACTTGGGTTTAAATGGACTACCTAACTATAGTCGTTTGGCCAGTTGATATTGTAGACAGTGAAGGTAAAAGAAGCCTTGCGGAAACTATAATAATTTCACTGAACGAACCGTTGTGGAGCGTAGACTCAAATCAAATGGCACTATATCTTGCTCCTTTAATTCCTACTTGTATAGAAAAGTATACAGGAGTATTTCACAGACACGACCTCAGTAGTAGGTATGGCGTAGTATAGGGTTGCGTCAATTTCCCGATACAGACTTGTATACATAGAAGCCATACATCGACTACAAGCCGATTCAATTATGCCCGCCCATAGGCTTAGAAAAATACATATACGAGACCCACTGTGTTGGGGGCTGTATTTACACTATCTTCTCCTGTCTGCTTAAATCGACATATGGCCTACTTCATGGACGATTTTTATATATTGCCTACAGTCAATGATAAAATTTATGTTGCCGCATAAAGTAATCTACATTACCATGTAGAAGTTTTTCATTCACGCCGAGTCTTCACTTACTAGCTTCTGTTATTTATTTACCAAATCATCCGCACAAAGCTAAACCGTTCATTCGAATGATCCGAAACGCGTTGTTCCCGTCTTCATCTATATAACAGGTAGCTTTATCTATGTAAACAGGTAGAAAGGACCAATATGCTACTAAAGTTTATTTTAGATTGTTTGACCTTCTGGGGAAGAATTTGCTATTACCTAAGCTAGAAGTAAAAATTTAGTCGTCAAAAAATATCCAGCGGCCACTCTATCATATCTGTAGCTTATCCCTAACGGTCATGGATCAGAACTGCATTTACTCTGCTCCTAATCCGTACTGAATCACAAATGTGTACAAAGAGATTTAAATGTTAGCAAAGGAATATTGCTATTATAAGAACATCCCATTTTTGGGAACGGTAGCTAATAAAACGAATTTACTTGACAAAATCCTGTTGATCGTTGTCGATCCAGGTTGTTTCCTATCTTTTTTGCTAATGCAATGAAGAAATGCGCCTGGGTGAATTTTAATCAATCAAAAAAAATTCAGTATAATTAATAAAGCCGTGCTAATTTCAGACCGTTCGTTTCTTTGGATACGAATAAGACGTTAGAAATACGCAGAAAGCTTGGAAATGTTACTCATTATGTGGGCAGTTACAGGTTCATTAAAGACTACGACTTTCACTTGGGCTTATTGCATATATTGCTTGAATAAGCCGCTTTAGTTGCGCGCTAGTCGTCAAAACTTACCTATCAGAGTAATTATCAAGCTGTAATATAACATTTTAATAGAGAAGGTGCGAAAATAGGACAGATAATTTTTAGTAAAAAAAAAAAACGTTCCATTTTAGCATAAATTGATTAATCGGCCGTCGTTGTCTAGGAGCGGCTTAAAGTAGCGTTCTAACAAGCGTCGTTAGCTATGCAGTAAATGTATACATAACATGCATCGTGAATACATAAATAAAAGCGATATATTGTTCGTTACATTGAGGGGTCTGACACGTTCAAATACGTTCAAGCTTATATAAGTAGATGAAGGAATAAACCGATGGAAATCAATACCTATCGATAGATCCGTTATGATAACACATAGCAACGAATGAGTAATTTTTCCATCGCACCTACCTGGCGGGCTATCGCGCTCGAATTCGTAATGAAGTAGCGTAAACCACCAAACGACCGCAAAGTCTTTACCACCTATATATTTCTTCATGAGATGGCCTCGTAGACCCTGCCAATAGTCCTGACTATCGTGTACGACGTGGGTCGTGTTCTTCTTGATAGAGACCAGTAGCAACGTTGGATTGGGCCTGGTTGTTACTAGTGCCAGACAGGCTCCGCCGTCGACACGACGGAGGTGCGGCTGTAGGCTGTTCTGTTCCTGCCCGAGGTGGCGAACTAACGTAATCAAGAGGGGCCCGTTCCTGCTCGCCTGCCGGGTCCAACAACCTGCTGCTGCTGTTAATCCGAGGAGAGTTAGTAAGTTCACTAGTAGGCATAACATCCAGGGCCAGTGTTGTAATGTCTATGCCGCCTGTTTGGCGGCTAATCACGTACAGCGGAGGAAATTAGCTAGAAAGACGACGGCGTCTAGCGAGAAGCGTCCTCGATAACATCAAGCCTAACTCTACTATAATGTAACAAAAAACCTTTATGTGATGCAATTTCCAAAGTAGTCAATAGCTTGTTTTGCGATATTATACCTAGTTTGGCTTTTCACACACGAAGCTCATAGAGGAAATTCTGCTACGAAATATCAACTTCTTATGGAGCCATGTAGTTGTCGGCTGTTCGAATGGTACCCTACCATATGGCCCGATCAGCCTAAGGGAAAAAGTTGGAAAGCTTGAAGTCGCATCATTTGCCGCGTTCTTCTGGCAATATCTGCTTCACCGTCGAAGTTCACAACTGTACAATACTAAACACCATTAGAAAACTTGTTAAGCTAAAAGTAGCTAGTTGGTAATACCTACAATGACTGCTCATATTGAACAGGCAACAGTACGCAAGATGACTGCCGATCCTAAATGATAGAGTTTATGTTCGACAACTACGAACAGAGAACTACGCACGGAAACTAAGTTGTCATAAAAGCTGTAGCAAAAGGCTCTATAAACTGAATAGTACGTACGGGGGGACCCAAACTAGGTCAAGTAAGACTCTAAAAAGGATTAATGAAACAATATGCTGGTTGATGCAAGGACTTCGACTGGCTTTGTCACAGTTACATCCAGTTAAAGCTCCAAAAGGCGTTTATCGATAAATCCTCACTTACGATTTGCCTGCGGGCCGGCGCTCCTTCCAGCATGAAAGCTACCGCACGTTGTCAAAGAAAAGCTATGAGGCCCGCGATGTTAATGATAGTTTATGAATGCTGGGTGTTCGGCCAGGCTTCTCACGTTAACTTCCCCCTTAGGGCAGTATAGGCTAGCATCTATCTGGTAGTAAGCAAATACGCTTAAGTTACAAAGCCTCAATATGCCTATAACAGGACACTACGCCGCACTTAATGATTGTAGTTCGAACTATGCACGTGAATTCATATTCTTTAATGGTTCGTTAGTAGTAGTCGTCTTAAGCTGAAGCGCTCTTCTTATCAGCGATCAAGGTCGACAGTTATACGTAAGGTTATGGGTTTTTTTTTTTCTTTATTTCACTAAAAAACGAAGCACTAACGAGTAGTACGGTGCTAGGGTGAATGCTAACACGAGGCTTAGCCTTTGCAGGAAAAGGCATTTCTTTTTGGTCTTTACAACATTGTACTCCCAAGAGAAGTAATGCAAATCGGTGGAAGTGAATAAAGATTGAGGGTTAAAGAAGAAAGGCTTATAGTTATGAAGAAAAAAAATTGGTTTACAGTGACAAAGGCCTCTACGTTAACTGTACATTTGCTTTACTTCTGAGCGGTAAACCTAGCTTCATTTCTATGGTTACCCTTTAGTCGAGGGTTGTATACATGCAGACGGCTATTTACTTGAATCTAAATATTTTAGGTTAACTCAGATACAGATTAAGTATGTTATCTTGTTACCTGTGCTTATTATAGGCTGTCAGGTTTATAACTGTTTTGTCGTGAATTTGCAACAAGACGTCCGATCCTATATATGCATGGCCAAGATCGGAAGTCATGAATCGTCATTAACATCGAAATGTTAGGTTACGTAAATCTACGTTAGTTACGTAAACCTAGAACGAGGTTGCCTTTGTCCTGTGTTATACCGTGCACCTAGGATAGCGGTAGCTTTTAAGCATTGTGTGCAATGGCTAGTTCGTTGATGCAGTGCTAGCTACAAGCTTTGAATTGCTTTATAGAGTAACGAAGAGCCGGCTTTTAGCCATTACGAACTCTGACTGTCATATATACATATAATGTACTGTCACACACTAATTGGTACGTAAACTTACGGCAAAACGGGGGCAATTTGAAATTATTCAATAAATGTATTCTAAGTATTAAATTTCTACCTTGTAGATTGCAATTGCACGGTGTATATATATATACGATTCGAAACTCGAATTAGCCTTACCATGAAACGATACTTGGCAACAATGCTTTCCGGCGATGACTGTGCGAGCGTTTTATTTAGATTTCACTGGGCCACTGCAAAATGCCACTGGGCTATGTTTCAAATATAAAAGTCAACTTCCTAAGTGGCCGATAAATCTAACTTCACGCATCCAAAGCTCCTAAAAATTCCGAACTGGCGTATTATTTGTTTTCGAGCTCTGACATGTTGAGCTCAATAATAACTCACACCTAAAGCTCCACAACCATCAATAATTGTTATTCTCAAATTTGAACTTTTAATTTTTAGAAAATACAATTCGTCAACTTATACATCACCTACGACAAATTTGGCCTAATATACGCGGATTAGCGCTATTACCTATATTGGAGTGCGGTACGTAACGCTGTAAAAAACGTTCTATCGGTAAACGTTTTTCGAATACCTACAACTATGGCTTATACGAAAATATGCTAATTACATCAAACGCTAGCATTCCCATGGCAACTTACCGATCAAAACGTATCAGCTGTAACAGTTGGCTTCGCTCGATTTACTCTCTGTGAATATGAAAAATACAAGTTATTACTTCGTTTAACGTTAGAAGTATCTGATCAGGTGACCAGACGAGCTGGCTAGAAGCGGCACTTGCTAATCTATTTACGTACACGTATTGCTTGTTACGACAATTTACGTAAGAAAAGGCTACATTCTACGTGACGTTTCACATATTTTCTATACGCAGAGATATTATCTATACCAGTAACAATAGAACGCCTGTAAATAGTACTGCGATATAATATTAAGGTATCCATATATTTCGCCTAGTGGCTAGTGCAGCTATGTGAGAGCGTAGAGTGTAAAAGTAAACTCCATTTCCTTCACATCGGACCCAAACGTATAAGCTTTTTTTACTTCATTTATTATTGTATAGATGTGATGACAGCCTTGCGGTTGTGGCCGATTAACCATTGTTCAATAGTCCAGAACGTTCCGATGTGCTGGATGCTCGAAAATACTATATCTCAATAGGAAATAGGTAAAATTAAATGTTTCGGTTGAATTGCTAGAGATCTACATTTAAGTATATCTTACTTATCGTCACAGGATAAAGCATGAAAAGATCAGCAGAACACACAGACCCATATCTGCACAACTATTTAGCCGCTAAACTTAGCCGCGAAATTCAAATATACTGGACCAAGTGTTGAACTTATTATTGACCCTTTTAACAGTCGACAAGGCCGCTCTAACGTACATAATAATGAATTGTTAATAGGCGGCTGAGATTTTTTTGACCATATTATAATATCTGTTTCCCTAAAGGGCACTATCATTCTCGTACGAGGCTTGTCGTACAAGAAGCCGTTGGAAGCACGCGCCTTCTAAACCGGCGGGTCGATATCTGCCTCTACCTATTTTTCGAAATTAAAATGACATATAGCAATAATTTCGCACTGTTTGCGTGCCTCGAGCGTCGATAAAATGTGGCCGGTCTTTCGTAAAATGTATTAAAAGTTCTGCAATGCAAATTCATATAAATATATTATTGTCAGTCACTGATCTTCAAAGTTGCAATTGCTGCTTGCGCATATATGTAGTACTCTTAACCACTGAACGATATCAACCACAAGAGACTTCGTACTGTTTATTGTGTGACTCATATAGCGCTAACAGGATGAAAAACTCTATCAGGAACGCTCTTCCCCTATAAATGCACGATCGAACCTTACCGTTGGCTAAGTCTACCTTAACATTAGTTTGAAGATGATTCTACGCATATGGTTACCGTGCCCACTGGAACCATAACGTGCCAACTTCGTTCGAAGACATTAATGATATTATTCTCAATTATAATGTTATTGAATAACGTCGGCTTTAAATAAATTGTGTTGACGAAATTTGACACAAATAGCGCATTGAGATGGTGGATTCTTCGGTAACGTCAGACGTCAAAATGATGTCTGTGTCATAGTGGAAATAACATAAGACAATGCAACGAAAATAGCTCTAATGTTTTTTCAACAATAGTGCATATGTTGCGGATGCTGAATCGAAGGCCTGAATGGGGACAGAAACACAGTAATAACAACGCTGTGTAGCTATTTAGGTTTTTCATTCCTCGAAAACGAGCAAGGATTCAATGTGTTTCGTTATGCAACTCCTATTGCCTGCCAGCACCATTGCTATCATCGTAGCAAAAGAAGTTCACTGTAGCTATGTGAGACGTTCCGGGTTAAAGTCGATGTCGACACTGGGGCAAAAATACATTGTCATTTATCGCCGCTGGCTTGAGATCTTGAAGTGCGCGCGAAGGATGAAATGTCGAGGGGTTCAACCTCTCGCTGCAATACGTCAAACTATCTCCGAGAGAAATATTTTTCGCGTGACACGGACGATTGGTACGTTTGCACGGATCGCTGCCTCGAGGATCCACGAATGATTAGAAAGGTTATATGAGGATTACGAAACATGGGCGCTGGAGCGGCGTCAGCTACAATGATATCCAACTGGATCACCAGACTGCATTGCGTTGACAGAGATTTGTGGCAGCTAGAATGGCAGCGCTATAAGCCTAGTGGGTCAGTCAATACACGGCGCGATATGCAATGCTACTTCGATAACATGTCGCTTCGATCGCTGCCAGACAATTCTACCAATGGGGCATTTACAGTACGAATGGGCTGGTGTTCTCAGCAGGTCTAGCTCCTTTGGCAAGTAGTTCCATAAGACTGTCCTCAGATAGACTATGGAGCACTGGGTAACGGCGCGAAGCAGAAGGAAACCGTTATACGATGGAACTTCCGGGGTCTTAAAAAACATTTGGTACGAAATCTATATGGAGCCACTTCAATATATCATTCGACAGTGCTTTTCCCTTTATACAGCTCTTGTGACTTCATCGTACACTGCATGAAATATTATGTTAGGTTCAGGTTCTAAATA